GCACCGCACCGGTGTGGATATTGTACTTTGCGCTCACAGATTCTAGCCTACGTCTTGGAATATATGACTCAAATAAGCATTTTCACCGGATATTGTCATCTGAACAAGTAAGTAACAAGTCTGCCACGTTTGTTCTGACCAACTGAGGAAAAAAGCATTACAATAAATCACGCTACCAAAGGTGATTTAATCTAAATGAGCTCATATCACATCAAACCTTGCAAATTATTATTATTGTTATACTTTATTCTCAAATTGTTAATGTTAACAATATCAGCATTGCGTGACTATGAGTATAGAGCAGGGATCACCAGACTCGGTCCTGGAGGGCCGATGTCCTGCAGAGTTTAGCTCCAACCCTAATTAAACACACCTGAACCAGCTAATCAAGGTCTTACTAGGTATACAGGCAGGTATGTTGAGGCAAGTTGGAGCTAAACTCTGCAGGACACCGGCCCTTCAGGATCAAGTTTGGTGACCCCTGGTATAGAGTGTATAAGCGAGTAGATTAAAATTTTTGTGCAGTCTAATCTCTAATTGTCATACCACTCGAATTTCATATTAAGAAATTCTTTTAACCCAAAAAGCAAATTATGCTCCCTTCGAACTGGTTGTCTTTAAAATACAAATCTTGTGTAATCCCAGGCTATCTGTAATCAGAAGCACATTTAAAACTGGAATATAATTTAATTTCATTCACATGTGTTTCATAAATACATAACCCTTTCTGGATTACAAGCCGCCATCAAAATTATACATTTAATTATTTCAGCTGCTGTGAGAAAAGGCTATAAACGATCCTCCACCTGCAGGATCCTCACATGCGATAGCCTAGTAGCCGGGACAACTTCTTTATGTTTACAGAAGTGACGTAATGACGCAGCGGCATGCTCGAATTTCCCGCGAAAACCTACCTGTACCACTCAAATTATAAAACATTATAAACTGACCGTTGTGAATCGGGCTAAAGTAAGGCGATAGTTTCGAACACTGGCTGGTTATGTACTTGCTCAAATATTGATTTCGGATCATTTTTAACCAAAAAAAGTTACGGACTGCAGCTTTAATTAAACATACAAGAGCAAGCTACTTGCAGAGGGTTTTAACTTTTCTAACTGTGCGATTAATCTGATGGTTTGCGGTACACTTACGATATCAGAGCGGATCGTTCATTCAACAACAATAGACCCGCTAAGAGTAATAAGAAAGTCTTACACAGAGTATATCCGAAAATAATATCAAGAGAAGGCAGTTTTTTTTTTTTTTTGGCCGATAAATTGGCTGGACCTACTTTCCTTACTTACGGAAATGACGCAAACACGCAACGAGTGACGAAGGCCTAGGTAAACACGAAATTTCATACCAAATCCGACCCGACAGCTTAAAATATAAGTCAGGGTAAATCAAAAACACTGTTTTTAACACTGATTTTTAATGTAACTTTAATTTGTCGATTTAACCTAATCTTATTTCATGTGTGCTCTTGTGCAGATAAAACTTTGTATATATGAATATTGGCCATGGTTACTAAAAAGACACTTGTGACATCAAATGGCGTTATAGTGATTATGGTTACAAGTATCAAGCAAATATTTGTAGTTAAATGAGAATAATTAATGTTTTATGTTTAAACATATACCATGCCATCCCAATCATACAATGTCTAAAAACTAGGGCTGTGCGATATTGAAGAAAAATGCGATATGCGATAACTCATTAAATAATGCGATATTCGATATGCGATACGATAATGCTTAAAGTGCCACATGCTCAAATGAAACTGTTTTACTCAGCTGTTGCTGAGTCAGTTCTGTGAACTTCTATAACTATCTTGTGTCCAATATATATGGTTATTTGAATGTATTTATGTACCAAGAGTTCCTGTTTGCGCACAAGTGGTGAATAAAGCTCATTCTGATTCTGATTCTAATAAGAAAGCACCCCTACAACAACTTCTGAAAGTGAACGGTATGTGTTTTAGTCGAGCATTACATAAAAATTTCATTTTTAACATTAGTGTAATCATTTTAACATGAGTTTAGGAACTGAATAATAAAAAGGAAAAATAAAACACTGCTTAGTATTTCCTCTTTGAATTCAATATGCACTGATTCTTATTTAAGCTACAAATGTTATTTAGGTAAGAGCAGTGAGTGATTTTCTCTTTGTCTTTTGTTCATGGCCCCAAATATTGCAAGCTGTAGCGATATGCATATTGCGATATGTACATTTGCGAAATTTCGATATATTGCACAGCCCTACGTAAAAACTCATTACTGGTGAGGTGACCACAGTGGCTAAATGTAACTGTAATGTCTGTATAGTGCAGTATGGTTCACCAGAACATCAAGAACCGCAGGAGGAGGATCTTTCACCCTGCAGAACACAGTTAGCCTCAGGTCAGATGTGTTTGCACACTCTGCATGATTTTCCACAGAAGTGCAAGGACCAGACTCCTGGCCCATTTCCTGGAAGATTGTGTGGTTGATTGGAGGTGGAATTAGTCAATAGTTAAGCTGAAATGTCCTCTATGCAGGGCAGGGTCAGGTTCAGCTGCATCCAGCATGCTGTGCTCAAATGCTATTTAAAGCCCAGCAAAAGCTGTGGCCTTACAGGCCTAATCTTCTCTTCACAAAGATGCATTAATCTATGGCTTCAATTTATGGGGCTGGATGGCAGCTTTAGGTCCTGCAAGAGTGGGATGGGTTACAGCTGCATCAGGACCCAATGGTATTGGTGTATCTCGTCCTTGTGTGTGGATTTCGCTGATATGAATCGCTCTCTGGGAACAGGCCCTTGAGGAAAAAGAGTTTATCTGAAAGGGAGCGATGGAGTGGGAGGGGAACGGTGTGGAGATTACATAATATTCGTCATGGCTTAAGAGAGTGGCTAAAGGTAATCTTAACCCTGCTACACAGATGACCACTCAAGAGTTGAGATCATAGCTAAAGATGACTATTTTAGACTAGTGAGTTCTGGAACACGTAGAGAAAGAATAGCGGTTGAGTTAACTAGGGGGAAATCCCCTCCAAACCTGATGAGATTTTAAAATATATGGGTAAGAGAAAATACTATTAAAATATAAAAATTTTTTTTTTTTTTTGCAAATGTAATACTTTGGATTATAAAAGCTAGCATGTCTTTACATTCTGAAATAATAGTAAATTGAATAATAATTAATAATATTTACTTCAAGGCATCAAATCAAAGTATGAAGTGTCACAAGAATAATATTATGATTATACAAGTGAAATAAAAGTAGCTGACATTAAATCATTTTGGAAAGTTGAAAGTTTTTATTGTTTTACAAAGAGTCTGCAATTTTTTTTAAAATAATTTTAATGCATGCCATTTTTATCCCCTCATATTGAGTGACAGCACATGATAGATTTGCACTTTAATGCTTGTACTTTAAATAATTAAAAAATTAAACTAGTGAAGACAAAAAGTTCAGTAAAATTGTTTAAAACTTGTGTGACCAGTTACAGGATCCCATATGCAATAAATTTTATCATAAAATCTTGATCATGATTTAAAAACACACACATTGACACGTTATGTGTTATATACACCATTGCAGGTTATGTACTGTACCCAACTTGTCAAGGACAGAACAAATGCAGAAGGGATGGGGCAAGGAAGGAGAGAGTGAGACGGGGAGGGAGGAAAGATCAGACCTCCCCTTTAACCTGTGGCAGCAGTAGCAGCGTTCTTGATCCATGACAGTGAAACAGCAAGTGCTTGGTGTCCATACGTCTGTGAGATTCATCTGGAGGATTCAGCATCCACGCTAAACTACCAGATGCAAAGGTAAATTGATTTATTCAATAGTAGTATTCTGATATTTGTGCGTTTTCCTGCATTTCTGTTTTTATTATTTCTTGATGAACAGATTTTCATGTAAGTGTAAAAGATCTATAAACCTAGCTTAAGGAACAATGCATAAATACAAAAAATACATAAGGTGATCCTTTTAAATGATCATAAAATGATTGGATGATCATTTATCCCATTCATCTTCTATAAATTTGTCTTAAAATCAAGGTGACTGATGCAAATGGTGTTCATTTACTGTACATGTGCATTTAACTGGTTACTGTTTTCTAAATGTTCCTATGATGCAGATGTGATCACTGATAATAAATATACATTAGTGTGTGTGATACAGTATGTGCTGACATATACTGTGAGATGGGGTAAAAGTAAAGGCTGTGTAAATCAGGATAACAGTGGCCTATAGATCCGATTAAATCCTTAGCTTGACAGATGGACTCATCAGAGGAAGCAGCCAGGAGTTTTAAAAATGTAAATATAAATAAAAAAAGAAGTTTTTGTTACAATTAATGAAAAAATATTTATAATATGTATTTAAGGTCTATGCAATAAATGATATGACTAAAAATAAATATGAATACAAATACCATAAATGACTTGTAGATCAAAGTGTTAATATTTTACATTAAAATATTAATTATTATTGGATGAGCCACGTTGAAGCTGTATAATAGCCCATTCACAGTATGCACAGTTTGCTTGCCATAGCTCTGTCTTTCTGTAGAACTATATTATTTGGTGGAATAATTGCTTAATTTGATTTATTTTAAATAATAATAAGAAAAGTAACTATTTATTGGTTGTTTTATTTTTTTGTCATTCTGATTTATATGAGTTATACGCAATGCAAAACTTATAGATTATTGGTTTAATATCTCATGTGTGAATGATTAATTGCTGTATTATTAGTTGCATGCATTGTGTGAGTATCAGGAGGTGTCTGCAAGATTACAGTGGTTATTTATTGGTTTAGACACATGAGCACATGTCCTCCTATAACCTATAGATGCCAGATTGTAACAAAAGTGGCTCTCTTGGTTGGTCGATTTTTGGAAGCGGTTAGTTATAGTTAGACACTGGGTTATTGTACACCGCGAAGCCCAATTATTGACTATGTTAACTGTAACTCACTGTCATATTTAGACAGTTGTGGACTGGCAGTCATATGGGATGAGATTCTATTTTAGGATTCACATGGTAGTCTGTAAACATTTATCCTGCTTTGTTTTAATATTTTTGCACAATAAAACGTGTTAATATGGTCACATCTAAATTAATTAGTTTTTATCAAGACTAATATAACTGAATTAGTTTTATTCAATGCAGATATGGCTGAATCATTCTGACTATACACCAACTTGAGTGACTTTAAAGGGATAGTTTGCCCCAAAAATAAAAATATAATTTACTCACCCTTTGAAAATGCTGGTAACCAAACAGCTGACGGTAGCCATTGACTTCCATAGTATTTTTTTCCATACTATGAAAGTCATCTGTATGTCTTCACTTCTTACAGTGTGGAAAGCAACATCCCAGATTCTTTTTGAAATATGAAACTATGGGAAGGTTGTGATGGTCTATTACCAAATCTGCACAAGCCATACATTAGTAGAAGTTACAGAGTATAAGGAAGTGAGGTGGGAAGAGTTAATACGCTTGGTAACAGTCTAGTTGTCACACCAATTAGACTTACATCTCAAAGGCTCTATTATACCGGAAAAGAGAGCTTGTGATGTGTACCAAACAAAAACCGCAGCATCTGTCACTGTCATTGCCCTTAACCTTTCTGTCACCAATTAGGGAACCTGTAGCTGAAATGGCTGAGAGTGTTTGCTTAAACGATGTTAAGTTCTGCACAATGACTGTATAGGAATATGTTTTTCAGTGTGCTTTAATCATAGACATTAATAATAATAATCATCATCATCATTATAATTATTATTATTAATTGTATAATTCATTTTTATAAAGGAATGAATAGACCTATTTAACATTTAAACTATAGTTCACCCAAAAATGAAAATACTGTAATCATTAAAATGTCTCTCTCTTTTTTTTTTCTTTCTTTCTTTATTATTATTATTCGTATTATTCTTATTTATTTTTTAACCAAAAATGTTTGCTTACCAGCATTCTTCAAAATACTTTTTTGTTATTGTTTTTGCATTTGGAATAAGAAAGATTTGGAATAACATGACAGAATTGTAATTTTGGGATCTCTTTAATGCTAAAATTAAAGGTGCTGTATGTAGGATTGACACCGAGTGGTTGAACTAGGTATTGCAGTCCAAATTCAAAATATTGGAGAGGGTTTTTTTCACCCGGCCCCTCCTCCTCAGACTTGACGCACACGCAGGTTGCCAGATTGATGACACCGACAGGAACGAGGGCACTTGACTGATGAATGGAATGAAATACGCTGTGTTTTCCGCCAACTGGCAACCCGGTGTGACGAAATACAATTGGGTAAACTGGCAGTGGGCGGGTTTCACAAACCAAACACAGACCGACATTCCGGCCTGGAACGCACATTTTCAAAGGAGAATAACTGACTAGCATTGCTTTTCAGATAAACAAGTATGTTAACTTAGCATGCTTCTTAAATATCTGCAAACATATTATGGTATTTTTATGCTTTAGTAGAGTCAAAAACTTGTATACAGCACCTTTAAACAGAAGTCAACAGTGTTGCTTTAAATCAACAATCAGCAGCCTTATGGAACAGGTGTGGGATCAGTCTGAGAAACACTGTCCTCCTTCGCCACTGCAAAGACGTACTCTGGAAGTTAATAGGTTGCAGCAAGGTGACTGACAGCCAGCTACCTGATTGGCTGAGGAAAGCATGTTATATTAATCCTACTTAAATGAAGTAGGATAAACTTGAAATAAAATGAATATCCATGCCATTGTCATACTAAAAGTTGATATTTTTCTCAATTGATTTTTCTCATTGATGTTTGTTTTGATTCAAAATTATAAAGTAAATCAGATTTTTTAAAGGCAAATGTATTCTGATCCAGAGAAATCTAAACTTTTTTTTTTTTTACTCTTGTGATATGTTGTGTTTCAGAGATTATTATGAGGAAGCCATTAGAGACTCTGGACCCTGCAAGGAATCGGGGAGTATATTGTTCCTGTCAGGTTTAAGTAGATCCATAGATTTCAGACCACCGGACCCCCAAGCTGCCCGTCAACCATGGATCCAACGTTCCCCAGTGTCAAACTGGGGTCAGATTGCACCCCTCTGCAGCGGAACAGCAAGCGCCATCGAGTGCATCATGTCAGGAGGAAACTACGTCCTTCTCGGATTTTTGGTTTTATCCTGAGCATCTCTGCCCTCTCATTGTTCCTGTCTTGGAGTGCCTTTACTTTCACTTTGGGCCCATTCCCAAGATGGACGCCACTCACCTCTCTCACCAACCATGATGGACTTGCAGAGCCAGTGCCACACAGAACTGTCCTATCTTCCGACGAAGAGCACAATGTTTCGGCAGATGCGCCCATCGCTATGGCCTCGTCCGATGAGCACAAGGGAGACTATCCAGAGGATCTGTTCACACTGGAGGAGAGGAGGCAAGGTGCAGTCGTGCTGCATATGTTCGGCATGATGTACATGTTCATTGCCCTTGCTATCGTCTGCGACGAGTTTTTTGTCCCCGCTCTCACCGTAATCACAGAAAAAGTGGAGATCTCGGATGACGTAGCGGGTGCCACCTTCATGGCCGCTGGAGGCTCTGCTCCCGAGCTCTTCACCTCTGTGATCGGTGTGTTCGTCTCACACAGCAACGTGGGCATCGGGACCATCGTGGGTTCTGCTGTCTTCAACATCTTGTTCGTCATCGGGATGTGCGCTCTCTTTTCACGCGAGATCCTCAACCTCACCTGGTGGCCTCTGTTCAGAGATGTCAGCTTTTATATCATTGGACTAATTATGCTTATTGTTTTCTTCCTGGATAACTACATTACCTATGTCGAGAGCATTGGACTGTTACTCTGTTACGCAAGCTATGTCACTTTTATGAAGTACAACATGACTGTAGAGACTGCAATCAAGACTAAATTATTCAGGAATCAAGTGGATGACATTGAAGCTCCTCCTAAGGTGAGTCGAAGTATTCCAGGTGAATTACTCTCTGCTTTTCAGGTCAAAGGTGGCATTCTCCTTCATGTCTCCTTCCACTCCTGTTAGGAATCAGTATATCACAGTGGTTCTCAACAAGGGTGCCGGGGCCCACTTGAGGGTCCTCAGCAAATTTCCAACGTTGACACAGGATGACTTTTATAACATAGTTAATATGATATAATCAATATTATTAGTTATTTTATTATTTTATAAATGCTAAAGAAACAAAAAATTCATATGTGAAATGAAATCATCATTTTCTCAATTGATTTTTCTCATTGATGTTTGTTTTGATTCAAAATTATAAAGTAAATCAGATTTTTTAAAGGCAAATGTATTCTGATCCAGAGAAATCTAAACTTTTTTTTTTTTTACTCTTGTGATATGTTGTGTTTCAGAGATTATTATGAGGAAGCCATTAGAAACTCTGGACCCTGCAAGGAATCGGGGAGTATATTGTTCCTGTCAGGTTTAAGTAGATCCATAGATTTCAGACCACCGGACCCCCAAGCTGCCCGTCAACCATGGATCCAACGTTCCCCAGTGTCAAACTGGGGTCAGATTGCACCCCTCTGCAGCGGAACAGCAAGCGCCATCGAGTGCATCATGTCAGGAGGAAACTACGTCCTTCTCGGATTTTTGGTTTTATCCTGAGCATCTCTGCCCTCTCATTGTTCCTGTCTTGGAGTGCCTTTACTTTCACTTTGGGCCCATTCCCAAGATGGACGCCACTCACCTCTCTCACCAACCATGATGGACTTGCAGAGCCAGTGCCACACAGAACTGTCCTATCTTCCGACGAAGAGCACAATGTTTCGGCAGATGCGCCCATCGCTATGGCCTCGTCCGATGAGCACAAGGGAGACTATCCAGAGGATCTGTTCACACTGGAGGAGAGGAGGCAAGGTGCAGTCGTGCTGCATATGTTCGGCATGATGTACATGTTCATTGCCCTTGCTATCGTCTGCGACGAGTTTTTTGTCCCCGCTCTCACCGTAATCACAGAAAAAGTGGAGATCTCGGATGACGTAGCGGGTGCCACCTTCATGGCCGCTGGAGGCTCTGCTCCCGAGCTCTTCACCTCTGTGATCGGTGTGTTCGTCTCACACAGCAACGTGGGCATCGGGACCATCGTGGGTTCTGCTGTCTTCAACATCTTGTTCGTCATCGGGATGTGCGCTCTCTTTTCACGCGAGATCCTCAACCTCACCTGGTGGCCTCTGTTCAGAGATGTCAGCTTTTATATCATTGGACTAATTATGCTTATTGTTTTCTTCCTGGATAACTACATTACCTATGTCGAGAGCATTGGACTGTTACTCTGTTACGCAAGCTATGTCACTTTTATGAAGTACAACATGACTGTAGAGACTGCAATCAAGACTAAATTATTCAGGAATCAAGTGGATGACATTGAAGCTCCTCCTAAGGTGAGTCGAAGTATTCCAGGTGAATTACTCTCTGCTTTTCAGGTCAAAGGTGGCATTCTCCTTCATGTCTCCTTCCACTCCTGTTAGGAATCAGTATATCAGGTTGGTTCTCAACAAGGGTGCCGGGGCCCACTTGAGGGTCCTCAGCAAATTTCCAACGTTGACACAGGATGACTTTTATAACATAGTTAATATTATATAATCAATATTATTAGTTATTTTATTATTAAATGTCATTTAATTATTTTTTATTAACTTATTATTTGAAATGCTAAAGAAACAAAAAATTCATATGTGAAATGAAATCATCATGACAGTTTCTGTTAATAATATTTTATAGATAGACAAACAGATAGAGTATAGTTATAGTTCTGTTCATCTTATATTATTTACTAATATTTGGCACTTGAAATATTTTTTTGGACGGTGAGGGGCCTTCCACTTGTTTTTTTTTATGAAGAGGAACCCAAGTGCTAATGAAATAACTAGTATTTAACAACACCTTAGTTCTTAAAGTATGCCATTGTGCAAAAAAGTATAGTACCACTTATTAAATATGTACTTGTACGGAGCCCCTAAAAGGTCATGGTGATGATAAAAAAAAATATGAGATTGGAGAAAAAATTATATTTCAATGCTTTGATGTCTTTCTCGGGGAAATGCTATACTCTGCAAAACATTATGTGCATAAATAATGGCATTCAAACATTAAAAAAAAAAAAAGTTGACTTTTTTAAAAATCTTCTAACAACTGCAATTCATGCCCATTAAGCAATTAGACTACGAGGACTGAAAATAAAGCACATGTACATTTGTGCTCATGCTCTGATGACTTATGGGAATATAATGAGTAGCCGATGCTCACTGGTTTTTATGGTGCATTTTGGGAGTTTCTGTGGATCTTGAGCATTTAACAGAACAAGGAAGCTGATTGCAACAGCAGTGGGAGCGGAACCCGACTGTTGGCTGAGATTCAGTGTTCCCAATGAAAAGAACACAGACAGTTTTATCACCTCTCTGAGCCGGATTAGGCATTATATCAGGTGTCACCTGGACAGAGCAGACAACACTGCTCTGAGAGCACACAATCAGCTGAGTAAGACCAGAACCACTGCTGTATAGACAGAGATGGACAGCAGAAAGAGAGAGCAAAAGTAGTAGAGATGAGGCAAGATGGAGTTAAGGAAGAAAGTTGTTAAAATCTTTTACTTTCCCCTTTTGCTGAAACCTGTGTTTTATCAGCCAGACATCTCAAGAGGCATAGATATCTATTTTTGTCTTTTCCTGGCACAATTAGCTTTGTTAATACCACTTCACACAGTTGTTTAAATTTGTGAGTCTTAACCAGCATTTCGTCTATTTTTCCCCAGTAAAAATATTTCTTTCGGGAAAAAAAAACTTATATAAATTATTAAAATTCAAAAGATATATTGTTATACTAAATTGTATTACATTTTTGTCATAAATTTGTCATTTACTTTCCCCTTTTGCTGAAACCTGTGTTTTATCAGCCAGACATCTCAAGAGGCATAGATATCTATTTTTGTCTTTTCCTGGCACAATTAGCTTTGTTAATACCACTTCACACAGTTGTTTAAATTTGTGAGTCTTAACCAGCATTTCGTCTATTTTTCCCCAGTAAAAATATTTATTTCGGGAAAAAAAAACTTATATAAATTATTAAAATTCAAAAGATATATTGTTATACTAAATTTTATTACATTTTTGTCATAAATTTGTCAGTAATATTGCAATCTTGTTTTAGAGATGTTTACATATTTTTACTGGGAAAATACTGATTATGAAAGTACAAAAATGTTTACTTAGCTGTTTAATGTTTGTCTGTGTGTCCATTATAGGACAAACAACTACTGGGTGGACATTTTAAAAGTTATTTCACTATCAAACAAAGCGTTATTAATATGCATAAATCTGACAGGCACAAGGAACATAAATATACAGTGCATGCAGCTTACTTTCATATTTCCAATAGCTCTTCTCTTCTCTTTTCTTTTTCTTATATATATAAATTGGTGGTGTACTATTAATTAAAAAAAAAATTACAAAAAGAAAAAATTCTACAACAATATATGTGAGAAAAATTTTATTACATTTTTGTCATAAATTTGTCAGTAATATTGCAATCTTGTTTTAGAGATGTTTACATATTTTTACTGGGAAAATACTGATTATGAAAGTACAAAAATGTTTACTTAGCTGTTTAATGTTTGTCTGTGTGTCCATTATAGGACAAACAACTACTGGGTGGACATTTTAAAAGTTATTTCACTATCAAACAAAGCGTTATTAATATGCATAAATCTGACAGGCACAAGGAACATAAATATACAGTGCATGCAGCTTACTTTCATATTTCCAATAGCTTCTCTTCTCTTTTCTTTTTCTTATATATATAAATTGGTGGTGTACTATTAATTTTAAAAAAAATTACAAAAAGAAAAAATTCTACAACAATATATGTGAAGAAAGCATTTAGACACTTTCTGGTTGTCAGACATTAATAAAATGACCTTGGGTCCAATTGGTTAAAAGCCCCCCCCAAAAAAAAAAATATATATATATTTGCATACTTTATTTGCAGAAGCCACTAATGCAGTGAAATTCAAACTTTTTAAGCAAGACCTAACTGCCCAAAAGTGTCTACATCATTTTGGGGCCACTGTATATTGACCCATTGCTGCAGGTGATATAAATAATGATTATATAATAATGATGTATGATTATATGCCATGCACTGTTGAATTAACTTGAATCTGGATATCAGTTTAGCGGTATTATGTATTATTGATCGTTTAAGAGGCCCATATGAAGCCAGTTCAACCTGTCCAACCTGCAGTGTTTCGTTCAAACAGCTTGAGTCTGATTTGTTGTTTGCAGATGCAGTTTGTCCCACGTATGGAACACAGGCGAATCAGCTGACCATGCTGTTTTGATAGGCTTCTTAGTGATGCACCAGGGGCATGTACGTTCCTCTTGAGATTGAGAACAATTAGTAGCATGTTATCTAAATAAACCCACATTCATTAGTCTTAGATTGCTCTTTGCTGGTAGATTGCTTTTTGAATGTAGGATTGTCACCTCAGTACATTGGGAATGTGATTCCAGAAAGCTTGTAAATGTTTCATAAATGTCCCACGCTTCATTCAGAATTGATTTAACACAAAATAAATAGATATCCTTTTATTCACACAGACAGGTGGGCCGTGTAGAAGAAGACATTATAGAGCAATTTACATTGGATTTTCACCCTTCTGGATTGGAATGAAAAAATGGCTTTGGTTTAGAGAATTTTGGTTTAAGGCTTCTAAAATTAAAATGAATAGTGGTAGAGATAGGGGTTGGTGTAGGGCAGTTGGTACATGTGCTCTTTGCTCCTTTAGCCGAAGCTCTGGCTAATCCAATAAGATGTGATCCTTTTAGTACCTCTAAGTATAGACGGGTGTCCTGTTCTTTTTTTAAACTGTGCTCAGATACGGAGTATTGTGGGAAGCTCTTCAGGTTTTTGAATGACATTGTCAGATTTATTTTCATAGGAAGACCTTTGTCACTTAGTGTTTAATGTAGCATTCAGAAACATGGTGGATATCTGCATTTCTGCTTGTGGTTTATGACTCCTAACCTGAAATCCTTTGTAATCCCAAATCAACTGCTTAGAAGGGGTGACGCCAAGCAAAGTAAAAAGACTCTTAGTGCTTAGGGGAGTGACCTGCCTTCTGAAGAAGACTTTTGAGAGAATATTGTACATTACAACAACCCTTTTCACTATCTGTCCTACATTACACAATTTCCTGGGAGGCATTTTTGAATTAATGAATTACACCGTACTGCCTGCTATGGATATTTTAAATGATATTCATAGAATATTTACAGCAAATTTGGATATGACATTTAAGTGATAAAGCAGCTGTTCATCTGTAATATAAATACATAATATAAGTATAATTTCAGTCATCTAATATGCTGATTTTTTAATAGTTAGTAAGGTACTTGTTAAATGTAGGTATGGGGATCGGATTAAGGGATCTAAAATATGGTCATGCAGAAAAAGAGATTAATATGTACTTTATAAGTCCTATTAAACAGCCAACATACTAGTAATGTGCATGGTAGGTAATAGTGAGAATTGGTATTTAAAGTGTTACCATAATTCACCATAAAAACAGCTTTTCTATTGTGGTCTTTATCTCTATATAATGTACTTTATCTCTGTACATTTTTTTTTTTTTTTTAAGTATAATTTTTACTTCTTTAGGTGTAAAACTAGTAAATAAGTAAAAATAAAAATAAAAATGTGCACCTTTAATATTATAAACTGAGGAAAATCTGAAGAAAATCTAGCCTGATTGCTAGAAGTATTTGGAAGATGAGCCAAAGTGTACTTAAAGTTGCAATATAATGAAACTAGCGACAGATATTTTCTTCTGTATTGTGACATCCCAGTGAAAAGTCATTGAATTATCAAACCTATTTTGCAGTTTGTAGTACTATATAATATTCTCAGTGCCTTAGTAGACTCTGTAGTTAGGCAAATCTTTGCTGGTGTAATTCAAACCATATTTAACTCTATATGAAAAGTAAAGAAGGGAGAGTGTGAGAACCTGGTATCATGTGTTGTGTGAGTTAATTTACGAATCCTTAAATGCCTCTGTCTCTAAAATTGGTTACCTTAAGCCTCTTTAGTGTGCCGGGCTGCCTTCTCTGGTTAACTACTGGACTCTTGCTAAGAGACACTGTAGAGGCAATTCAAGTTCTCAGATGACCCATATGACTAAACCTGGAATGAAGTCCACAGGATTTACGACTTTTTTAAAAACTGTCTGTCACAGATGGTGTACAAATACAGTTGTTGCAAAATTGAGCTTGATGTTCAATTGGATCTTTTAAAAGCAAAGATGAGTCCGCATCTTCAGTCTCTCTGTTACATCATACTGAATTATCTTCATTAGTTAAGGAGTCTTATGTGCTCTGATGCTTTTGTGATGTAACAGGCAGTCTGTTTATCTAATGTTATACTGATTGATATACAGTAGACTGATTGAGTTCCTGCTGCTACAGGAAAAGTTTAGTATGTTTGGTATATTAATTTGTCAATCTTAAGTATATGTTTTTAACGATTTAAAGAAAAGCAATATCCAAGCTGAAAATTGTGACTTTTGCATCACTGCTTAAAATGTAGAAGTTCCTATATATCCATGTTCTTTCCACTCTATAGATAATACTGTAACGGTGGCATTGCGTGGGTCCAGCATGCTAATTGGTCCAACTAATTGATAAACTGTTACTCGGCAAAGTTCATTAGCAGAATCATAATTTTCCTGCGACTATAGATTGATCAGATTGACTCAAAATGTGTGGAAAAAGAAGGAATGAGTGGGATGTTCTGAATGAGACAGGCCCTGCAATACCTGTGCTACGTTGTCAAAGAAATGCTGTAAAAATGAAATGACATAATTTCAAACAATTCTTCTTATTTCTTTTAATTTGTTTTAAAGTGTTCCGATTACAAATTTATATAATATTTGTGAAATATGTTTTGGATTTTCAGTACTGGATTCCTCCACCCACCCCCCCACTACATATACTACTGTATATAGCTAATATTTCATTATATTATGGTAGATGTTTTACTAGTGAAATCCCTTTTACTAGTAAAATCTTTTCTGGAGGGCTCTTAAAAGCATGAAATGAACTTTTATTTTTCATGTCTCCTACCTTTTGCATCTGTAGTCGTCAGCCAAAGGTTTGCATCTCTAGTCGCTTGCCAAAGTGGTATGGTGCAATCAGTCCATCAGAATCATAATTTTCCTGCGACTATAGATTGAAACTGTTACTCGGCAAAGTTCATTAGCTGCTCTCTAGTAAGATCCCCATGACTTCCTTTTCAGTATTTGTGTCTTGTGTAAAATGCATGTTAAATCCGATTACAAATTTATATAATATTTGTGAAATATGTTTTGGATTTTCAGTACTGGATTCCTTCTTGGATTGCACTTCTTGATTCAGGATTCAGCTTTGAGACTCTGATTTTAAGGTCCTACGTGTAGTCTTAGGCCTCAGTCAGATTTTTGACTGCTTGGTGCTTGTCTCTAAAGAAACAGGATTCCCTGAATTATCGTCATTGATATCGTTATCGCAATAAATACCAGAAATATCGTGATATATTTTAAAGCCCATATCGCCCATCCCTATTGGTGCTTAATGTTATGTTTAAAATTATGTTCACATGATTGCCATGTAATGAATTCTATAATGTGAAAATATAAACTAAAACGCCAATGGTAGTAAAATATAACATTCATTTTTTTTCGAAGTTGTAAATTTTGCAGAATCTTTTGCGAGAAAATTCTATTTAAGTCTTATTTAAAAATTTCACATTTGTTTCAATGTTACGTCAATGCCATTTCTTTGTAATTCTGAAATGTACTAGCAATTTCTGAGTGAAAATTGTTTCTACACCATTTTTTCATCTTTATAATTTCTGTAACTATCAAGTTTTAAAAACTGTAAGAGAATAGCGAAGTCCACACCACAGCTATAACTATAACAATAACGATAGAGAAATGATATCGCTGGGATCAAATTCGGGGCAATTTTTTATTCCAGCTTATGACTGATAAAAACATCAACAGGCAATAAGCATCCATCCTACTTTAATTGGACAGTAATTGGAAGGTGGGTTAGAATAATGTTGTCATCCATTTGTCTGGAGGATAATGTAGTATAGTTTTCATTCTTAGTGCGAACGGCCTTAACTCAGACGTTTAAGATTGTTGGCCTAGCAGCAGGACGTCCGGTAATGTCAGACAGCTTCAGCGAGCTGGTCTCCGGTTGGCTGACCTCTGCTGCTCGCTGAGCACACAGAGCTCAGCTGTATTTTCATAGGCCAGAGCTTATCTTCCACCTGCAGAAAGACCAAAGCTGGGAAGGGAGGAACGTGAACAGGGAGCAAATGGCAGAGCCTGCTAATCACGAAGGAAACGTGCTTAAGCCCTCTATGCTCTACTGGGCTGATTAGGCTTAATTAAGGCTGCTCGTGTGTCTCTGCTGAGCCAACTGATTTTCTCATGAGGACACTGCTGGTGCTGCCACCTCACTGGGAAAGGGCTTGTTGAAAAAGAGCTTATTTGAACCATTTAGGAGCAGAGCTATAAACAATTTGAACTTGCAATAATGTATTCTCTCTTATGTACCTGAAGACTATGAAATAGTTCCACAAAATAAATAAATTACATTGTTTTCTTAAAATAAAATAAATTACTTGTTTTTTTGTTCTAAAATGTTTATTAAATAGAAATATAATTTAAATATTACATACCCCTTGCAGAATGTGCAAAATGTTAATAATTGAAACAAAATAAGAGGGATCATGAAAATTGCATGTTATTTTTTATTTAGTACTGTCCTGAATAAGCTATTTCACATAACAGATGTTTACATATTCTCCACAAGACAAAATAACTGAATTTATAAAAAATGACCCCATTCAAAAGTTTACATACCCTTGAATCTTAATAATATGTGTCATTTCTTGGATGATCCACGACTGTTTTTATATTTTGCGATATTTGTTCATGAGTTCCTTGTTGGTCCTGAGCAGTTCAACTGCCTGCTGTTCTTCAGAAAAATCCTCCAGCTCCTACACATTCTTTGGTTTTCCAGCATCTTCTGCATATTTGAACCCTTTCCAAAAGTGACTGTATAATTTTGAGATCCATATCTTCACACTAAGGACAACTGAGGGACTCGTACACAACTATTACAAAAGGTGGAAACATTTACTGATGGTCAAGAAGGCTACACAATGCATTAACAGCCTGAACAGGATGATAATAAGTGTAAATTCTTCTCATTTTGTTTAACAGTCATATTTTTTCATTTAGTTGGACTTCAGAAGCTACATAAATTACATGTTTCCCAGAAGACTAACTATTTCTTACAAAATTGTCATAATTTCTTATGCATTGTGTGGCCTTCTTGAGCATCAGTACGTTTTCACTTTTTGTAATAGTTATGCATAAGTCCCTCAATTGTCCTCAGTGTTAAAAGATGGATTTCAAAGTCATACAGTCAATGTTGGAAAGGGTTCAAATATGCAGAAGATGCTGGAAAACCAAAGAATGTGCAGGAGCTGGAGGATTTTTCTGAAGAACAGCAGGCAGCAGTTGAGCTGCTCGGGACAAACAAGGGTATGTAAACTTTTGAATGGGGTCATTTTTATAAATTCGGTTATTATTTTGTCTTGTGGAGTATATGTAAACAAACATCTGTTATGTGAAATATAAAATATATAGAGACGGCTTATGGTAGAGAAATGAACATTCAATTCACAGGCAACAGCTCTGGTGGACATTCCTGCAGTCAGGTTGAAACATGAGAGCACCAGATTTTAAAGAAAGAGAGAGAGAGAGGAAGTACAGGTACTGCTCACTCGCTCGCTTCTTCCAAACAACAAGCGCAAAGCCAGGAGCTTTAACTCACAAACACACCTCCCCTTCTCCACCTCATTTAATTCAGCCTCCTCTGCATTTCCATTAGTGACAAGACACATTTTGATCAGACGCCCTCAATACTGAAATAAAGAGTGCTAGCCTAGCAGACAGGTACAATGGACAGAGTGTTTCCTACAGATTTCTCACTGTGTTTTAGCTCTGGAAAATCCAGATTTAGATGGTTTTGAAGCATTATAGTTTTTGTTAAAAAGGTGTTTGATTGCGATTTCACTTTTTTAACATTAGTTAGTGTGTAATGTTGCTGTTTGAGCATAAACAATATCTGCAAAGTTACGAAGCTGAAAGTTCAATGCAAACGGAGATATCGTCTTTTAAAATTACATAAGCAGTAGCATTTACAAATAACAGCATATCTAAAAGTATGAGACAACAACAAACAAAAAACATAGGCCTACCATTAAAAGCCAAAAAAGTGCACAGGTTCTGCACGATCCTCTTCAATAATATTCTCTGCTTCTCAATCGGGCTCAAACTGATAAGCAATATTAACGACGCCGTTGTTTACAATACAACCGGAGCACATGCCGCCGAGGTGAGGGGCGGGACGTTTAGACGCGCACTAGAGGCGGTTTAGCCAATCACAACACACTGGGCTAGCTAACCAATCAGAGCCCATCGCCTATTTCTGAGGGCGGGGCTTCATAAAAGCAGGAAATGATCAGCGCGTTTCTCAGAGAAGGGACAGAGCGGTGTGGAATAAAGGTAAATTATGTGAAAAAAAATGCGCGGTTTAGCCAATCACAACACACTGGGCTAGCTAACCAATCAGAGCCCATCGCCTATTTCTGAGGGCGGGGCTTCATAAAAGCAGGAAATGATCAGCGCGTTTCTCAGAGAAGGGACAGAGCGGTGTGGAATAAAGGTAAATTATGTGAAAAAAAAATGCTACACAAGCATTAACACATGTTAGACTGCACCCCATAAACACAATCAAGCCTAGAAAAATATTCTAATATTACAATATCACAGGCAACTGAATGACATCATGTTTTTGTGGTTCTAATCTCAAAGGCTGAAGAGGAGGAAGATGAAGACCAGCCTCTGAGCTTGGCTTGGCCAGACACACTGAGGAAGCAAGCAACATACCTCTTCATCTTCCCCATCGTCTTTCCATTGTGGCTGTCGCTGCCAGATGTCCGCAGAGATGTACGTTTGAGTTTTTTTTACATCCATTTAATGCAAAATAAACAAATTTTATTTAGCTATAAAGCAGCTCTAATGAAGACATTAGCTTGATCATCCAGTTAAATTCACTTCAAGTTTTGTTCTTATCTGATAGTGTCAGTGCAGTCAAATAGATAATATACACTGAACAAAATTATAAACGCAACACTTTTGTTTTTGATACAGTGTACAATGGCATTTATATACACTTATCATGGTACCATTTCAAAAATTGTGGTTTACAACATTAACTTACTTGATTTAACCTATACATTTGTGTTCTAAATTAATTTAAAATAAATTTTGTTGGTATGAGTTAAGAAATTGTATGTAGGTTGGTACAGTCAATATATTTTGTATATACTTGAATAAAACGTGTTATTTTAGGTGTTACCATTTTTAGGTTTACAATTTTTTCAGTACAGTGTTGTTATTGTTACGTAAAACTAAAAACTGCTTTGAAATGTTTTTTGTTCATTGAAATAAAGCTGAAATAATAATAAGAAATATTAACCGAAAAACCTAAAAATAAAATGTAATTGGGACTGTTGCCTTTACAAATTACTGGAATAATAAACTGAAACTGAAATAAAAAATAAGTTGAAATAAAAAGAATGAATTATTAAAACTTAAAATGAAAATTGAAAACGTAAAAATAAAAGCTATATTCATAAATACTATAAAAGTATGTACATAAACATTTATAAATAAAATTTCTCACTCTTCATCCATCCTCTGTCATCCTGAATGGATTTTTTCACCTAGCTCATTGCAGTGCTCTCTGGGATTTCTATTTCCCACAAACTATAGATGTGGTTTGGCCAAAACAATGTGATTTTGTGATCTTAGGAGGCAAAATAATTTTACTGCCTGTCTTTTACATGTTAAATTGCCCTTGCAAAGATACCTGTAGTGCTACTAGAGTAAAATCATAATAAATTAATGTCAGATCTCCTTCAAACAGATCTTTGACGACAGCTGAGGCTAATGCCAATTTAACACCGTTTTATCATAGTATTTTCATGGAAAGTTTCAAACACCCAGTACAAATTTCTCCCACAGGTCGGTGAGACTATTGGAATCACAGAAGAGATCATGGGTTTGACTATTCTAGCGGCTGGTACCTCCATTCCTGATCTCATCACCAGTGTTATTGTTGCCCGGAAGGGTCTCGGCGACATGGCCGTCTCCAGCTCAGTCGGCTCCAACATATTTGACATCACCGTTGGGTGAGAGATCTTCATCAGTAACACTAGAATCATCATGTGATAGACTCCCTACTGTAAAACAACCCTTTGAAACATCTCCCTGTGTCTGTTCACTGTCCCCAGCCTGCCTTTTCCATGGCTGGTCTTTTCAATCCTGAACGACCTGACTCCAGTGACCGTGAGCAGCAACGGCCTGTTCTGCGCCATCGTTCTGCTCTTCCTCATGCTCCTCTTCGTCATTATCTCCATCGCTGTGTGCAAGTGGAAGATGAGCAAGCTGCTGGGTTTCTTCATGTTCCTGCTCTACTTTGTGTTCCTGGTGGTCAGCGTAATGCTGGAGGACAAGATCATCATCTGCCCGGTCTCCATTTGATTCCTTTATCGTATACGCCCTTGTTCTTTTTCTGGGAACAGACTCCTATTTATTGGGCATCCGAATGATAACATGAGAGCTTGACCGCAGCTGCGCTGTGGCACTGCATCTTTATATCCACCGAAATCTGAGTAGCAGGGCTTTCCAAGCAGTAGTTTGTTATGGGAAAGTAGTGCAATATTCTGCATGCACTCTCAAAAGCAGTACATGTAGACTTGATGTACTGTAGATTTTAGCCATTTTTAATACGCTGTATGAAGAGGATGGACTTTAAGAGCAAGGAGACACAACATCCAGTGAGGAGGTGGACATCTATGGGGAGTGTCCACAGACTCAGGAAAGGACCTTTGGTGAAAATATGCAATAATAAATCGATCACGATCCTGGGACTGTGCTTTAAAGCTCATGATATCATAAGCCTTGTGTTGCACAATAACTTGAAAAGAAGGATGAAACAAAGCTTTATATTTGCTTTGCCTGAACGCTGGTCCTTTCTGATTGTTACTTGAGCATTTTCATTCGGAGCATATCATATCTTTTATTGAATAGACTTGTAGACGTAGTCAGAAGTCTATTCTTAACAAAATATTTAGGACTAAATTTCAGATTTATGTTGTCGAATTGCATATAAAACTTCTGTCCATTTGGATGACAAAGTTTTAACAAACTAATAAACTTCATGGAATGCATATGAGGGTTATTATAGGTTAACTAAAATGGCAACGACAAAAATATTTTTGTTACTTGAAATACAATAAACGTTAACTGAAATAAAATATGAAACATTTCTAATTTTCTTTTAATTTAACTTGATGTACTAATATAACTAAAACTACAATTTTTATTAAAAATAATAAAACCTATATAGACTTTTAAAAAATGACAAAAAACACAACAAAATTACTAAAATATTAAAAATTAAATTAAAATGGAAAATACAAAAACAACTAATTCAAAATATTAAAAACACTAATACTATCACAATGGTACTAAAATAACACCGATGCATATTTGTCATTCATACGTAAATGAAACGGGTAAGATTTCTGTAATAGTACGAACACAGAATAACCAGGTTTATATATTTAAAAATCCAATTTGTTTCAATCTCATGTATTTTAACTAATTGAATATTGCTTGTTCCATAGCTATCATATTTTAACCATGCCCATGCCTGAGTAAATTGCATTTGAGTAAATGCATTTTAAAAGTTGTTATTTAAAATCAAATAGAAGCAAACATTTAATAATAACTATGCCATGATTTTTTTGAGTGCAGAAATCTAACCTGTTTCTTTTCGTTCTTGCATAATTGGCAAATATGCATTACATTCATTAGTTTGTTAAAACTCTGTAATCCAAATGGATGGACTTTTTCTATGCAATGTCAATACATAAATCTTAAATTTAGGCCCAATATTGTTTTAAAGTGTAGAACTGCAAATAATCAGTATCCGACTCTAAAGATTTGGAGTGCTCGCTGTACTATTGAATATAATTAACCACATTAATTGTTATTTGTAAATGCGATATTTTATATGTTTATTCTCTGGGACTGAGGTTTAATTTGGTGTGATTCGTTTGGCAAAATCCAATGAATGAATGAATAGTACAATACATTCTCTGCTTATAGAGAACCAGTTATCGCTCTCTTTTCACAATCAGTTACAGCAAAAGCTGTCATTTCTTGAGCTAAAGGGTGTCTTCGTCATCATCATCTTCAGCAGCATCATCATCATCATCATCATCATCTGTCTAGACTGCAGTGTTCATGAACTTTTACAGACTCTGCTGTTATCAGAGCTGCCAGCTGGTGTTAATGTGAGTAGATGTGTGAGAGAGTTCAGTGCACTTTGCAGAACTCTTTACCGATCATTCATCCCTGCCTGTATCTCTCATTCCTGTCTTAAATCATTTCGGATGATGGAATGAAATTTGGAAGTGAAAGTACTAAAGGAATGGAGCACCCAACAGCTTTGCATTTGACCGGTATTCTTAGTTAAATACATATGTATCTATCCATTATTAATTTCTGTGTATTTACATGAGTGATGTACAAAATAAAATTATTTCTAAACTTACACTAAAGCAGTATTACTTCAAGTATTTGATTTTTTTATGATTTTTGTTCTTCAAAATTTTCATTTTGAGCTTAAGTGCCTAAACTTTGTTTTGTGATGTTAAAAACGGAGAAATTCTATGTAATACAAAATTGTTGAGGGGTGTGGCCAATATAATAACAAATACAGTATGTGATGATATATTATTAATATTACATTAGAAGAAGAAAAGGAAAAATATCACTTAAATTTGAGAACTTTGAGATGATGATACAGTCTTTGATGTAAATCTATGAATACAAAGCAAGTTTAAGCTTGCAAAGCCATTAAAACAATCATAATTGATGTAAAGTCATATACTTGTATGATAAATTGTAATTCCACTTCATACGCTCAGCTGAAATTTTGGATAGTTAATATTTGGATAGCTAATATTGTCTTGACTTGGTTTAGCACTTTTCCCCCACAAACATTTGTTTTGAGATTAAACAATAATTATCACAGCAGATATTACATCATTTTATATATATGATATTACAGTTTTTTTATAATCATTTTGTCACCAATTTTTTCCAGAACCTTGATGTCATTTTTCAAAACTCTAGACACAAAACTCAAAACAGTCATTATTTGTAACACAACTGTCGAATGTTCAAAACTTTGCATATTGCGTTCATATCTTTAAAGAAGAAGATTTATTATGAAATATCATAGGAACATTACTTTAGATCACCCACACACAAGATACCCATAGTTTCACTGTGTAGTTTACAATCATTAAATATAGTTGTTCAAAACACATGATGCAGCTTTCATAATGGTTCTACACATTTATGCATCATTGTAATAGACTAGAGAGAAAAGTACAGACACTGGAATCATTACAGGGGTTTTTTTTCAATTGCTAACAAGCGTTGTTCAATACTGAAGCCGCATTTTCAAAACTGTTCACACAGTCTACATTACCAACATGAATCTTGGCCAAACTGTTTATCTCACCTCCAAAACTCACTCAGACCAACGAAACACTTCATATATGTCTCAAAATAAGCTCGTGCCATAACACTGGCAACAATTCTCATTCAGAAAATATACATTTCATTCATAACACACTGGTCTAAAAAACACTATAACACTATAACTATGAACTTTTATCTTTGAAGTTTGAATGAATTGTCACATAAGTATTTCATTATAGGATAAGAATAACATCTTTTCATTTTACTGACTGTATTACAGCACAAAGAATGAATGAGAAAAGCAAAATTGACTTGTGAAAAAAGAAAATAATAAAAAGTTGAGAGAAAAAAATGAATAATTCCTGAAGCAACAATTACAGTTTTTTACGATTGCTATGACAATTTTTTCAATACTTTTAACAATTTTCCTAAACTCTTAA